GAACTTTTGTTAGTTAGAAAAATATAAATACTATTTTAAATTAGATATCCATTTTGAAAAACAAAATCTGGAGAAATTAAATACAAGAATAATATTTAAAAGAAAAAAACATTTTAGGGCTTTGAGAAATTATTGTCAATAAGTTTTGAATGGGTTAAGATTGAATATGGCTAGTTAATGTTACTGAGGAGGTTTTGCTAGCAAATGAGAGAATGCTAAAATAAGAAAGCATTTAAAGCTCAGTCCATGTTCCATGTCAGATATAATCTTAATCAGTAGCATGTAAAATCCTAAAACAGTATATTTATTTGTATCACTCTTTGTAGGCAAATGTTATCATTAAATAGCTAAGCATTTCTGTAGAATTTTCTCTTATAATCCTAAAAAAATCATGTAACTAGGTATCTATTTCCAGTTAAAGTTAGTATGCTTCACAATATCCTATGTTCATGTTAAAAGCGACCAAAATTAAAATACAACTTTAGATTTAAAGTCTAATTAAGAGCATTCCAAACAGTCCATTTTTTTTAATTCTATAAATATATTCTTCAAGATAAGGGTTCTTTCTTTATTTTTATGTAATATTGCTGTTTTATTTTCTGCTTTACACATTGTTTTTATTTTTGGGTCTGGCAACTTAAAAGGAGATAATAAATCAAAAATTTTTAAAAAATTCATGTCCATCCATTACTATCGCTGTGATCCAAGTGCTTGAAATTTCTAAGAGTATGTGTAAGTCTTCTATCTGTTTGGCATTTTGATATACTTGCAGACTTCATTTTGTTTTTTCTCTAATTCTGTTCATTTATTTAACCTCATGAGAAGAGAACATGATCATACTTTTATATTCTGTACTGCATCCTTCCATCTTATTCATAACCCTGCTGCTTTGAATCATACTTGTTCTGGGAAGAAGTGTTGATAGAAAACACGAACAGTTATAATATCTAATATCAAATATGTTGGAGGAATGAATTCTAAAAATAGTGCATATAAAAGGATCTACCTTTTATAATAAGCACAAACACTTGGGAGGTTGATCTATCCATTTATCTTGTAAAAAAAGCTTGGAATAGAGTTATTACAATTCTGTCATTTGGAAGATAATTATAATTTAAGCAAACAATAAAGCTAGGCACTTATGTTTCAATGTAATGTGCTGTATAAAAAAGAAATACAATATACAACTTCCATATTACTAAATAGTGTCCTGAAAAGAATCTAAAATATGCTTTGCATTGCTAAATGTCAATTTTTGTAATTAGAAGGACTATGACTTTCCCACTTATGCTAGCTGGGTTAAATGTATTATTATCATCTCTGCCTTTTTAACACGTAAGAGTGCTCAGTCTGTAATTTGTGATTACAAGCATCACTGAAGGCAACCTGTTATAGGTTTGATTCAGACAAATGTCAGTGAAAGTTGGAGAGACAAGAGGTGACTTTCCCAGCCATCCTTTCATAAGCAAGTCTTTAAGCAGTGAAAAAAAACACTCTTTTTGAAGGCTCAGGGAATCTTGCTGTTTCATTGGGTTAGAGATCATGCTGATGATTGATTATCTAAAAAAAAATGAAAGGATCTTGCCAAAACTAAGAAGCTACCATTTGTAAATGTTTTCAAAATACAGGAAAGGAAATCAGTCACCCCTTGTCCATGTCCTTATTGGGGATATTGTTATGGAATCAACCCTATGTCTTTCAGTGACCATTGAATTTTGAAGTACATATCAAACTTATGTGATTATTTAAGTTGAGATTACAAAGCAGCTGGGGAAATGTGGTTGGATTAGTTGTAATTTTAGCTGTATATAAATTCACACTGTATTTCTAATACCATGTGGGCATGGGTAATTAGAACCACAAAAATGTGCCCATTGGCAACTTGTTTATGATGTAATTGTGAAACTCCATGGGATATTTTATAATTTTTCCAATACATGTAAAAAAATGACTGATGCATTCAAGAACAACTGCTAAGATGAGGCATATTGAATTCCTTTGTCAATTGCTGTAACTTTTTGTCTTTCTTTCCAACTCTCAAAATAGAAGTTAGCTAGAAAGGGAATTGGTAATCATGAGCTGGGTGATGGAAGAAGACTGGATTTTTAAAAATGTTATATTCCTCATCTCTTTTACTTCCATGTTAATTGGATGGGCCCATGAAAAGAAATGCATGTGTGGCACAATTGCCTATAGCTATGCATCATTGGTAGATTTTTTGTTTACCATAATTATAATTCCAGAACAGTCCACTATGTCTTAGAAGTATAGTGTGATTTTTAGTTCATACTTTAAATTGTGGTGGTGGATGAAAGGCAGCTGTGAACTAAAATTGAAGTGGTTTGCCCCATTTATAGTAATACATAGATTCATCTACTGAATTCCTGCCAGGGAAATCCTATTAAACATTGTCTATCAATATCTTTAATAGCTGGCAGGAATCCTAGTTCATATGAAGTATTTATAAATATGCTTTATTTAAGTAGATGTAGATGCACACATAGATTATTTTCCTTGCATAAAGAAAGTATGTACTAGAATGAGGGTAAACTATTTTTCCTTTAAAAAAATAAATAAAGCAGGATATAGGGTTCTCTGGTATTTGGAAACCCACCAAGAGAAACAAAATGTTTAAAGAATCTTTATAAAACAATGTTAATTTGTGCTGCTCTGTCAAGGAATATCAAATTGTTTTAGGTTTACTAAAACTAAAAAAAAATGGGATGGATATTAGAGGTTAATATTTGTATGTTTGACACTGGTGAGCTTTTCTCTTGCTTGCAAAAATACAACATTGGGACTTGGAAGTTCCAGCTATTGAAAAAGCAGAGATTACATTTTCCTGGAAAAAGGCAATTATGTTTTCCTATACAAGAATGTGTTAACTTCTATTTAAATGTATTATTAAATAATCCTTTTATGAATTTTGCAAATACTGTTATGATTAAATGTTCTTGACCAAATAGAACTTTTTTTGGGGGGGGGGAACTAATGGCAGCTAATGAAAAATTCTGAATTAATGGCCCAAATCCTTGGAATATTTATGTGAATTCAGTATGTTTTATGTTCACACAAACATGATTATGATAAAGTTGTGGTCTTTAGCATTTCATTTTTTTTCTTTATGAAAAAATTAATGGGGTCTAAAATAAATTTAGATTACTTACCTTTAAAGTAAGTAAATGCTGTAAAATGAAATAATTAGATAGATATATAGAAGCCACATGCAAATGTGATATACAGACATTGTAAATTAAAAATTTTCTCAGGGAGCATTTTTTTAAAAAAAAATGGTAGTGAAACATATTAGCAATTGTTAATCATAGACAAAAAACAGTGGTGCTTTCTTCTAGAAAGCCCTAACTAAAGCTGCTTTTGGAGTGTAAGGAAGATTTTCTATTTGTCTGAGTGTCAAAGTTCCAGGCAAATATAAGAAGGCTTAATGCCGTAGAAGACATGAACTTTGAGTACTTTACTATTCATATAAGTTAGTTCAGGGAATGTAATGTCTCAATATTAAAAATGCCTTATTATCTCAATATTGTAAAAATATGCACAAGTATAGTTAGATCAGCGGTTCTCAATCTATGGGTTGTGACCCCATTTGGGGTTGATCGACCATTTCACGGGGGTCGCAAAGCAAGGCTGTCCGCCATTTTTTCCCCCTTTTCCGGCGGGTGCCTTACCTCCCTTGAGCTGGGCCAGCTGGTGGTCGGCCTGCTCCGTCTCTGCCGCTTGCCAGCTACGCCTCGGCCGGCGCAGGGGGCGGAACGACGCATGCGTGGCGCTCCCGGGCAGGGAAAGTCCTCGACTTACGACCGGTTTAGTCCTCGACTTACAACCGGTTTAGTCCTCGACTTACAACCGGTTTAGTCCTCGACTTACAACCGGTTGGGGGTCGCGGCATTAAAAAGGTTGAGAACCACTGAGTTAGATGGTATTTGGAATTTCAAATTGTTAAATATCCTTGGAAAGCTTCATTTATTCTTTTGTTTTGAAGTGTTCTCTTGCAAATACAAAACAGTTGAGAAACTCTGATAACATTATACAAGACAGCTTTATACATTGCCCACCCCACCATTATTTTTATATTCTCTTACATTAAAACAATGGCTTAAAACTATAGCATTAGGTGAAATAATAAAATCTGAATCGAAACAACATGCTTCAAATTACTTGTACTCTATGTAGAGAATAACTTTATTTTTTGTATTTTACATGGGAAAAAAATCTGAATTTTGATTGTGGTTCTAGCAATTGTTCAGGAATAATTTGCTGTACATATTTGCAGTTTGGAAAGGACAGAGCACCATATTTGAGGAGAAGGAAATTCATTAGATCATGGTTTAGTATCCACATTTCTAAACATATAATTACTTAATTTTAAATCAGATTTAGATCAAACTAGTGGTTTTTTTTAACCTTGAGGCTAAACATCTAACACGCTAAAATCACTTCAAAAATATGTGAAAAGTTTATTTTGTTATAATGTTGAGAATTTGATTAAAAACTAAGGTTGTAAGATAACTATTTTCTATTTGAAATTAAACAGATCCTGTAAGAACTGTGTAATTGTCAATTTACTATTGTATAGTAAATGCCAATTGTCAAAATTGTAGTAATTGTCAATTTTACCATTTGCAAGTATCAGAAAACTGGCCCAAGCTATTTACTGTATATGGTGCAATACCTAGAAACAGTAAAAATCAAAGCTAGCATGAGCTTTAATGTTAATTAACTTCAAACTGATTATTTTACAGACAACATGTTGATTTTTCATTGTTGCCATTACACATATTAACCATATTTTAGATTTTGTGTGAACTGCTTCCACTTCCCCTTTCCAGATGAATATTTCAGAATTTTCCATTTCATTCCAATCCAAAATATCACCTGGTTTTGCTAATACTTAATATTGGTGTCTTTATGATTTATTGTAATGCTTCACTGTAAATTGTAATGGGCGCCATCTTAGTGGTATCTTTTTCTTCTGTATACAGGCTGGTTTAGCAGGAGCCCCAGCCCGGGCTGTGTCAGCTGTAAAGAATATGAATCTTCCTGAAATCCCAAGAAATATTAATATTGGTGACATCAGTATAAAAGTACCAAACTTGCCCTCTTTTAAATAATTTGTGCACTCCAGGTAAAAAATGAAAAATTACTAGCTGCTCACAAATGTTTACCAAACCAATGTTTTGTTAATTGAATAAAAGATCGGCATACTCCATAGAAATCTTCTGTAGTAAAACTGTGAAATTGTGTTTTGCTTAGCAAATTTAAAAGAAGTGGCTCTTTTGTGAATTCTAAATAATACTTCAATGTCCTTTTAAAGCATATCAAATCTAAAATATATAATTTTCTGGAAAGGAATTCAAAGTATTTATTTTCTTTGTATAACCTCTTTTTGTATAGACTAAAACCTATACTGTAACTAGTACAACAATCCTAATCATATGTCTTCATCTGATGTGTTGCATGAAAACATTCAACTGTATTTTCTTTTGCTTTTTGAATAAATTATCATAAACTATATTTAAAATATTTGTTTAAAATCTAGCAATTATTAATAGGAGTGATTTCTGTCTTAACCAAGATGAAAATATATTTTTTTCTAAGTACAAGTTCTGTATAAGGTTAGCCAGCATTCTCCATTGGGGACGGGCAGAATTCTGCAGCTCTTTCAACATAAATGTGTATATTTCATATAACATTTTGCTTTGGATAGGGAAAGCAGCAAAGAATTATGCAAGGCAAGAGGGTCTTGGTAGTTATTATTATGCCTGTGTCTTTACTGATTTCTTTTTCCACATCTAGCTTAATTTTCTTCCTGCTCATAATCTAATATTTTCTGAATAAGAAGTTGATGAAATATCTATTTTTCTTTTCTACATCCATATTCTCTCCAAAATGATTCTTCTCTCTCATTCTGTCTCTTCAGTTTCTTCATATTCTCCCTGTCCTCTGGTTTCTACAATTTTGTTTTTGTCAGGATTCATCCACAAACATACTCCTTTTAATCATGACTATATCTCAGTGATGGTGAACCTTTTAGAGACTGAGTGCCCAAAAACTGCCCCTGCCCCCACTCCACCCCCCTGCCCCGCCCCCACCCCGCCTGCCCGCAGGGCCACTCACCACCTCCAGGGCCCACCGCAGATCTCCCAGGCAGCCCAGCAGCACCATTGCGGCCATGCCCTCTGCCCACACCCCGCAGCATCAAATGTGAGCGATGGGGTGTGAGGGCAGAATCTTGTCTACACTGCCTGGCTGCCATGTCCTTGGCTGCACTGCTCCGCATGGGCCACGCTCGGGGGTGACTCTCCTCCAGAGGGGCTGCTGGTGAGGGGGTCACGGGATGAGGCAAGGCTGGGGCAACGGCACGTGTGCCCACAGAGAGGGCTCCAAGTGCCGCCTCTGTCACGCGTGCCATAGGTTCGCCATCACTGCTATATCTTTTTTTTTTTTATTGAAAATTTTTAAAAGTTTTACAATATATCTCCCCTCCTCCCTCAAACCCCACCCTTTCCCACCCCCCTCCCTTCCCCCCGACTTCCCAGAGCTACACACAGGGTTTACAATATAATAATTATACTCTGTCTTAAATTATATTACCCTTAAGTTAACAATTCTATAACATCCTTTAGCTCTCTCCTAAACTAACATATCAAATCATTATTACAAAATTTTTAATTTTAATTAATCACAAATTTACTCAAAAACCAAATGAAACTTTTTAGTTCCATATTTATTCTCAATATAATCTATCCATCTTCTCCAAACCAATATATATCCATCACTGCTATATCTTATGCTGCCCTTTGTATTCATACTTCTCTTGTTGGTAGACATCTCAGCTTCTTTTATGATTGGATCTCAACATGTTTACTATTCTTTGTATTTGCTCAAGAGTTTTAAAAAGTTGAATATTCTTGGTGATAAAGCCATCATTATTTCTGCTTTAATAAATTAAATTGAAGAACCAGATCAAGATTAATTTTGGCCAGTTATAGTGTGCTAAAAGAATTTCCGCAACTACAAATCTGCAAGGTAGAACATTCTTCAAGGTAATTTTGTTTTCTCTTGAGGATTCTCATACTTTTGGATAATGTCCAGGAGAGGCTACAGGGGATAGGGAGACAAAATTCTTTCCTTCGTATGCTATCAAAAATTTAACTTTAATTACTGATTTGATTTATATTCTCCCTTTCTGTTCTAATGAGTACTCAATTTGCCCAACAAAATGTTTTAAAAAAATATTGCCTCCCAAGCTGGCAAGCCTCCATTTCTGTTGGAGGCCACTGTATTGTATTTCAGAGGCCTCTAACAATCCCAACTTATCATTCAGTGGACTGGGATCTGAGTGTCTCTCTGTTGGGGCCTCTCTGCTAGGAGATTTTCCCAGAACACACTTCGTATGGATATGTAATTGCAAAGGGGGGGGATTGGGTATGTAGGTGGAGAGGCAGAGATCTCTGTACCAGTCTCTTTGCTGCTGGAGTGTTATGGGCTGAGCAGCTGGCCAGTGGAGAAGTGGATAGCACCTTGGAAGAAGCTGGGAAGCTATAGTTTTGGGATACAGATGTTTTGTGTTTGTGTGATAGTGATTGAAAAATGATATCAGTATTCTGACCTGGAATACAGGAACTGGGGGGTGAGGATTAGTAAGGAAAAAGAGCAGGCAGTAATGTTGGGGTTGTGATAGGCAGAGGTAGGCCACTCTCAGGGATGGTGGGAACACTATTTGAGAGTGATCTCCGTATCCAGCCATCGATACTGGTATTGAGTGATCAAATCCTTGGTAGTGTTGCAGTCTGGTTATTGCTTATGAATGTCAAGTCATTTTGCAATCTGCCCTTATTCTTGGGTATAGCTTGGTTCTCTGATTGTCTATGGACATTCTCAATCATCCAGGTCATAGTTGTCCCAAAGGTGCTTTTTTCAAAAGGAAACTGGACTTCATCAGCAACCTTCCCAGTGAGGGAAGTCAGAGTCCCAGAGAAGGAAATATTAAAAAGGCAGAAAAATATATTTCCTCAAAAGTATTTTAAAAGCAGAAACCAACCTTGCCCCCAAGTCTCTGTCCCAAGCAGAAGCCAGCCCTATATAAATGCAAATGCAAAACCATCAGAAAGTTTGTCAAGACAAAGAGACTTAAAATCTGCATACCCCACCCAAACTCTAGGAGTCATTAGCCCCATCACCAGGGAAGCAGGATATGATAATAGGATTAAATCACAGATATCAAGGCCTAGAAAAACATTCAGAAATATCCTCAAAGTTCATGCCACAGGAACAGGAAACTATTCCAAACAAAAGGCTAGAGGGGGTATAAAAATCTACTGCCCATGTGCTCAGCTCTTCTTCCCTTTGCTCTTTCCTGCAAGAACCATCTTTCTGCCTCTTCAATAAACTGTAACCTTCTTCTCAAAGCAGTCGCCATGTTGCTTATTTGTTCCCGGCTTGGATGAATCAGGATGAAGACTTTAATCCAACACCAGCATGGCCAATTTCCTCTCCATTTTCCGCAGCTGTCCCCCTTTTCCTATTGCAGTGTGTTGAGTACCAATCAAACAAGTCCCAGACAACAGTTTTGCATCAAAATGCGTTGAATACCAAATTTGACGAGTTTTGAAGCAGTCAAGTACTGAGGTACCATTGTAATCTGATAGGGTTTGGGGATAAGTTGGGATCCTGCACTATGATAGTTAGATTTCAACTTTTTGTTGGTTACTAAAAGATAAATGGAAACATTATGAAAAGAAGCATATCTATGTAAAGGGGTTGGAGTTCAAACCCTTTGGAAATATTTAATCATGCCTCCTCCACAAGATTCCTGTCTATTTTTTGAAAACCTCATGAGGAAAAAAAAACCTCAGTAATTCATATTTTGTGACATACAAATTCCTTCTACTTTACTAATCGGGTGTATAGAAGAGGACGCTGGATTTATCACAGGCTACTTTTCAGCCATAGCAATTGTTTTAAAATAGTTCCAAATCTACTCTTCAATAATTGATTGTCCTGTGAAACACTGATAATGCACAATCTCAGTTGCAAATTAATAGGTTCATATAACATTTTCAACTGCCTTCACTTTTAAGAGCTGAAAAAAAATCTGCCTCTTTTTTTAAACTATGTCATAAATTTGGATGAATTTTTTTTAATACAAGGTACTGAATAGTTTTTCTATTCAGTGTAGCTGGAACTTTCTATGTACTGAACAGGAAATACATCTTAAATTTCTTCAATTTCATAGGCAGAATCTGTTTCAAATAAAGATTCCTTGCTGAATTTTTCTGCATATTACAGCCTCAGAATAACTTTTATTTTCCTTTTCATGCCCGTATGAAATATAGGCATTCTTCTCAGTACCAGAAAATAATGTAGTTCAGTGTTATTGAGCAATCTGTATTAAATATTTGTGGGCATGTATGAATATGAGACATCATTTTCCATTGGAGTTTCCAACTCCAATGTTGCAATTTAGAGTAAGATGACATATTTTTATTTTTACTCTTGCATCACTAACTACACCAGGAATAAGCATCAATGAGGAATCGGGGTGGACTCGGTTTTAAATAATGAGTATCTATGAATGCATCTAGTTTACATATTTAGAAATTACCGGTATTCTTGTTTCTGTGAAACCAGCATTGTGTAATGTTCATGTATTAAGTCAATCCCGGGAAATCTGAGATTCCAATCCAAAATCAGTTATAGGAGGGGACTAAATGGATTTGGGTCCCTCTGCTTCTTCCAATCTATTTTCCAGGGGAGGGGTGTAGAGATGAAATTGGGGCACTATGTATCTTCTTTGAGATTGTTTTGAGGTGTGAATCTAGCCTTAACTTTAATAAAATGATCTCAAATAAGCATTGCCTACTGTGAGGGAATGTGGGCCTGCAGCAACAGAGAGGTAGGAGTTGACCAGTTAAACGTTTGTTTGTGATTTGTGTTTGTGATTTTCAATTGGGCAACAGTTATTGAAGCAACATCATTTAAATTGGCTAACCTACAGAATGCTGGGACTCATGACTCTAATGGGAACGAAATTTGGGTACATTGTGGTCTACACTTCCAGAAACCTATGGAAGATAGGAGAGTTGTATTCCCACTTTCTTTCCTGCCTTCCTCTGGCTATGCACTGAATCAGCTGATGGCGAGGCCTGACAGGTGAGCAACAATTGGCTGCATTGGAACTGAAGGCTGAAATTCAATATCTCTTTAACAGTGAGGTAAAACAA